ATTTATCTCTCTGCCCTTCAGTTAATCCCACTTGTGTTTATCAGCCAGGCTGTCACAATAAACTATCTCAATATCCCATGACTGCCTTATCACCCACCAAGTTGAGTTTCCCTAAATCTGAGTGCATGCCTGTTGCTGTGTGCAGCCCTACGAAGAGATAGAATGAAATATATAAGGATAGTGTTGGTCATGAGATAGCATGACATCAAGTCTCAGGGGCTAACAGAAGTCACATAACCACTAGTGAACAAAAGTATGTGTACGTGTGATCATAACTTAAATTGTAAAAGGAGTTAAGAATTAAAGAAATTACTGTGCTCTGGAAAGGATGGAAAAATCCTCACAGAAAAGAGAGCCATCGAACTGGACCTTAAAAGTTGAATGGGATTTCTCGAGATAGAAAGCAGGGAAGAGAGTGACTACAGAAGGCACCCAAGCGTTCCAGAAAGAAAAGAAATAGCATGGTCAGAGACTTAGAGGTAGGAGTAGCTGGTTGGAAGGAAACATATAAAGGGGGTTGGTAAGCTGAGAGAAAACAAATGGAGGAAATGCTGGAACAACCCTTCAGAAGAGTTATCATTGCTATGTCAGGCTAGGAATTGAGAGTTTTAGCAATATTTAAGAATATAATATTGTAATGGAAAGAAGGTATCCAGAGATAGGAAAGAGAAGCAGTATATGGAAGGGCTGCCAAGACAATCCAAAAATAACAGGATTTGATTGTGCTTGCTAGGATAAGCTAAGCATGAGTGAAAATAGAAATGAAAGTGCTCAAGAGGGGAAATCTGAAGATGCAAGGAATGGTAATTATAAATGTGAAATTCTTACAAACAATCCAGGAAGCAAGTGGATTTAGCCTTCCAGCAACTCCAAGAGAGGAACCTCTCCCTCCAGAACCCGAGGGGACTGTGAGGGGTGACCTAAGGGTAGGCTTCAAGTGAAAGCGCTGTGGCCAATGAGAGGTAGAAATGGGAGATTCAGATGAAAGAAGACCGTCTAGAGTCATTACCAAAGAGTGTCAACAATAGAGTGGCTAGAAAGTCAGGATCTGATAGGATACTCTGAATGTCTAGTGGATCAACTTAATACCATATTTTTACCACTACTGGCATCATTCTTAAAAGTCCACTAGATTTTCAGCTATGGAAATTAGTCCCATGTTATTCTCTGGGGTACATCCTGGGGCTAACAGTCACACTGGTTCTGGGGAAAACAGTTTATACATTTTTACCAGCAGGTCTATAAAATGACTCCTGATTCATTCAAATTTCTTGGGGAAAACGCTGCTGAAAGTGGCCTTCACAAGGCACATACATTGTATGGAAATGTACATGGAGCTGTTGTTTTATTTCCTCAAGTGGAGTTTTAATCCAAATAGGGGCCACCCTTCAGGGTACGCATCTGCTCGAAGTATTCAAAGTGTTATATTTAAGGAAACACATTATTTTCTTAAACAAACATGGAAAATCAATGTTTGAAACCATTATTATTGTAAAACAACACACACGCACATAAGATAATTCCAGAGGGGGGTGGAATTAATTACCTGAGAGCCTGAAAATAAGATAGGACTAGATGGTGTTTGATCGCACCACTTTATAAAATTTGGCAGCACTTGCTCTTTTGACAAAGGCGTGAGGGTACTTTCAAAAATTTAAAGAAATCTCTTAGCTCTAATTAAAGGATTAGAATTCCACTCATCTGGTTTGTTAAGGGGAAATTCTAGGAATTCTAAGATAGATTTACAATTGATTCCTACCTGCATGAATCAGCATGAAGTGTTAAACTCATGGAGAGAGCATGAACTTTGAATCCAGACACACCAATTTAATTAATAGATTTAATAGAGCTTCAAATATTTGCAGACTTGATGATTTGGTATAAAACTCTTTGCATTTCAAGTTCCCTCAGTTTAAAATATATATATAGGGAACAGTACTTAAATCCTAGGTTGGCTTTGAAGATGTAAAAGAATAAAATACATCTATAATATGGTATGCATTTGTTGTTAGGGACCATCAAGGCCATCCCAGTTCATGACAATTCTGTTTATAACAGACAGAAGCACTGCCTAACCAATGCCTCACAATCTAGGAAATGGGTACATATTGACAGGTCCTCCAAACAAGAATAGTCAAGTTTTACCCAAGCATCTGGTTGAATAGCAATTGAAGACCCATCTACACTCCACACTGAGCGATAGCTCTGGTTTTTAGCTATGTCCCCGCAAAAGAACAGGGACCTTTTCCCAATTCATAAGACAGAGAGCTAGCAGTGACCTTCTTGGTGAAATAGTCTGGCACATAGAAAGTAACCCCAAACCAATTACTATTGAGTCATGACTCATGGAGACCCCAGTACCTGCAAACCAGGTCAACGGATTACTGACACTTCGCTGTGGCCCGTACTTTAATTGCATCTACGATTCCTAAGCAGCACAGGGCATGCACAGTCCTGTGTGTATGTGCGTCCCAGAAGCTTGTGACCTATGAATCTTTCCCACCAATGCATGTGAAAGGAAATGAAATCAGGAATAAACAAAAGGGAGACATCATTGTAAAATAAACACTCCAAAAACACTCGTGGTCAATTCTATGGGGACTTCAGGAGCCGAGAAAGCCCCTTCAGGATCGTGACATTTAGTTGTCACGGAACTCATGTGCAGTTATCACTTGAGGTGCCCTGGGTGAGGTGGCTCCTGAAGCTGAGCTGGTCACTTGAAGGACTGATAGCTAGTGGAATTTGCTGACAGCTCAGCCAGCAGCTAACAATAGGTCCTTCAATGAAGCAAGCACTGGGCTGGGCAACACAGCATTCACTACGTTATTTCACATGTTAGTTATTTTACCTCTTCACCTTATTTCTAGAATGTTTGCTCCTTGAGGGCAGAGATGTAGGTCTCTGCTGTTCACGACTATATTCCAAGAACCGAGAATAGTTCCTGACACATAGTGGACTTAAGATAAATATCTGATGACTATCCTAAATTCTTTTATGTAGTAGTTTAAAGAAGGGGAGAAATTCAATTCACCCTGCTGCTGGAAAATGAACCAAATGAATGCTTAACTCTGAACTAGAATGGCCTACCTATTGTGCCAATTCTAAACCCCTTAAAACTCATGTTTCCCACTGTGAAACATAAGCATCTCACATTTTGTCTGGTTTGTACTCTAAAAGGACATTTAACCCCCAGATAAATAAAGCACTACTAAAGAACTGCAGCAAAATAAGAGACCTCACACTTTCCAGTCACAGGACGTACTATACATCCGCGCTACTCAAAAGAGCCTGGTCCGGGGAACCCCCCCCTTGGCCCAGGGGACCGGATTGGAAACTTCGGGGGCACCACCCTTCGGTTAACCGTTGATTTTTTACCAAGGGTTGCAGTTTTTTTGATTGGGGGGGGGTTCCCTTTTTCATTGATTCTTTTTGGCACCTTGGGTTTTTTTTTGGCATTAAAAATGAAGCAAGGTCTAACTAAAAGGGCACACATATCAGAATATAAAACAAATCAAAGGACCTGCCTAAATAGTTAGTACTTCTGCCCATTAAAGACTTCACCAAAAGGGTAAAAAGATAACCTACAGACTGCGGAAACTATTTTGGTAATGGCACATCAGGAAAGAATCTAAGTGCTCTTTTCCTTCAGCGTGCCACCTTGATCCTGGTGCCGCCCTGCCCGATGTTACCGGTATTGTAAGAACAAACCCTACCCAAAGTCCCGCTTCTATCGAGGTGTCCCTGATGCCAAGGTTCACATTTTTTACCTGGGCTGGAAGAAAGCAAAGGGGGATGCATTCCCACTGTGTGGCCACATGCTGTCGGATGAGGATGAGCAGCTCTCTTCTGAAGCCCTGGAGGCTGCCCGCATCTGTGCTAACAAGTACATGGTGAAAAGTTGTGGCAAAGATGGCTTCCACATCCGAGTGCGGCTCCACCCCTTCCACGTCAACCGCATCAACAAGATGCTGTCATGCGTTGGGGCTGACAGGCTCCAAACGGGGATGCGAGGTGCTTTTGGGAAACCTCAAGGCACGGTGGCTAGAGTCCACATTGGCCGGGTTATCATGTCCATCCGCACCAAGCTTCAAAACAAGGAACGTATGATTGAGGCCTTACGCAGGGCCAAGTTCAAGTTCCCTGGGCACCAGAAGATCCACATCTCCAAGAAGTGGGGCTTCACCAAGTTCAATGCTGATGAGTTTGAGGATACGGTGGCCGAGAAGCGCCTCATCCAGGATGGTTGTGGAGTCAAATACATCCCTAACCGTGGCCCCTTGGACAAGTGGTGGCCCTGCATTCATGAAGGCCTTGGTAGCCCTGTGCTGCCTCACTTGTACCCACCAAATAAAAAAATGAACTTCCTGATTTAAAAAAAAGAATCTAATATCTAAAATGTATAGAAAAATCCAATATCTCAACAGCAAAAGGACAACAGTACATTTTTTTAAATGAGCAAAGAATATTCAGACACTTGACCAAAGGCGACATGCAGGCAGCCAATAAACACATAAAGAAATGCTACCCTGATCTTTAAATAGTACTGTTGATGGGTGTCATCTCAACACTATGTATAACAGGACAACATTCTGAGAAGAATTCCCAGAATTCTTCTTATGTGTCAGCCCATTGTTGCAGCAACCACTTCAATCCATCTCCTTGATTTTCTCACTGCTTTCTCACTGCCTCTCCGATTTACCAGGCATGATGTCCTTCTCCAGGGACTGGTTTCTCCCGATAGCATGTCCAAAGTACATTAGATGAAGTCTTGCAATCTTGCCTCTAAGGAGAATTCTGGCTGAACTTCTTCCAAGACAGATTTGCTTGTTCTTTTAGCAATTCATGGTACTTTCAATAGACTTTTCCAATACAGAGTTCGAATGCATTGATTTTTCTTTGGTCCTCATATTCAATGACCAACTTTCACATGAACATGCATCCATTGAAAATACCATGGCTTGGTTACATTACCCTTGATCATGCCCTACCAGGCCTCCCATCCCACCTTACCACCGATTTGGATCACTTGTTGTTCCTTTGTCCCTGGGTTTGTTAACACCACTACCTTACCCTCCACTTCCCCTCTCGTATGCCCCCACCCCCTCAGAATTGTCGGTCCCATTGTTTTATCCTCCAGATTGTTCATCCAGCCTATCTTATTTAGACAGACCTGTGGAGATAATAACA